GGGGTCTTCAATGTCTGTCGTGGTCATTGGGATAGAGCCTAAGTCAACCCCCTTTTGTCTAGGCTCAGGGAGTATCCCTCCATGTGGGATGGGCTCCTAAAGTCCATTCCTATGGTAGTGATAAGTATTGATCCACTACAAGAGGCCCCATAGATTTCCAAGGTCTCCTCACTGACACCCACATTCAGGGGGTCTGGATCAGTCCCATGCTGGGCAAACCCCAGTGTGGGATTTCCCAGAGTGGGCGGTAAGAAGTTGAGCCCTAGGCAGGGGCCAAAGCAGCTCACCTCTGTACTCTGTGGGGGGCCAGAATAGGCTCCTGGCTGTGATTTTTATTGCTTTCACATTTGAGTGCTTGTCATTTCTTCTGTAATTATCTATAAAAATGAGGATGTATCATTGTAACCACAGTGAGTTTTGTTCATTGTTTACATAATTATTTTGCTTTCAGAGTCTCTTGGGATTTACATTATTCAAGAAAAGATTCTAATGTGAAATTTCAATTCAAAATTTTATTATTTGACAAATTGACAATCAGATAACAAAAGGTCTAATTGGGATTAGTCATTGATCTCACTAACTCTTATGCATGCATATAGAGACATAATTTTATTACCAGCTGCTCCTGTAGTTACAAAGGCTTGGATTAAAATTATACATAAAATATTACTAAATTAATATTATTACTATAAATATATTTATTCTGTTTGATGACTATTCAAAAGTTCATATATTTACTTATGTTTATAGAGCATATTGCCTATTAAGCTTTAACAATGAGTGTCCTTACTAAAATAGCCATGTCTATTTTCAAGATATCTTGTTCTTCACTCAAAACTCTGTATGAATTATACATTATAATGCAACAGTAACAATATGAATGTTACAATTTAAATTACATAATGCTGAGTATTGGTAAGACTTGAATAAAGTGAGATATAGTTTCTATACACTGAAAACCATTTTAAACATTATAGGCAATACATCCTAAATCTCCAGCTGTTTGCTGAACAATTATTCATACAAATCTTTCCATTTAACTGGAAAGTTTGCATATTTGGGGCATTTTTGTTCATATCAACCTTAAGTACACACCTGAAGCTTAGCTTGTGCTAAAGAGACATTGTGAAATCATGTAGGTGGGGACTTAAACACTGAAGGACAGAGCAAACACTTGATCTGTGATACCAGAGAACACACATAGTCTGATGTAATACAGAAAATAAGCTTTGCCTTGGAGTTTACACTCCCCCAGAATCTGCTCATCTGCTTCACAGTGTTCTTGTATCCTGTTTGTGTTATGTGTCTCTCCCAGTTAGAAATTACTATTTTGCTCTTCAGTGGGAACCCAACACTTGCCAAAGTGGCTGAGAAACCGGACAAGAAAAATGTGTTAGTTAAGTGGCCTATAAATTTGGAGGATCAATAGTTTTTTATTGGCTTTTTAAAAAAATAAAATTTATTTTAGAAGCACCCTTATTTACATATCCATCCCCCCATTTCCTTGTCCTCCCATCCTCCCATGTTCCCCACCAACCCCCCCAACCTACCTCCCAACTCATCCCAAGGGATGGAGGCCCTTCACTGGGGACCTTCAAAGTCCTTCATATCGTTTGGGGGAGGGCCTAGGCCCTCATTGCTGTATCTGGGCTGCAGTAGTATCCCTCCATAGAGAATGGGCTCTCAAAGTCCATTTGTGTTCTAGGGTTAAAGAATGGCTCCACTGTTAGATGTCCCATAGACTGTCTTGGCCTCCTAGCTGGTACCCACATTCAGAGGGGTTGGTTTGTTCCAATGCTGTTTTCCCAGCTTTATGACTAGGATCTCCATGCTTTCACTAGGTCAGGTCCACTGTTTCTGTGGGTTTCTTCACCTTTAATCCCAGCACTTGGGAGGCAGAGGCAGGTGGATCTTTGTGAGTTCGAGGCCAGCCTGGTCTCCAGAGTGAGTGCCAGGATAGACTCCAAAAGCTACACAGAGAAACCCTGTCTCAAAAAAACAAAAACTAAAACAAAAAAACCTTCTCTGTCCCCCCCTCTCTCTTTCTTTCTTTCTTTCTTTCTCTCTCTCTCTCTTTACAAAGATAAGCTTCTAAATGAAGTATTCACATGACTGTCCTGGCTGAAGTACCTCTATTTTGACTTATACATATTCCTTTATGGTATGTAGGTGCACAAGAGTACTTACAATAATAAGTTACCATATCTATATGTGGTGAAATGGTTCCCATGTTTTTCATGGTTGGATTTTTTTGCCTCTTCTTTCAGGTATATTGGTCATGATTTCGGTAAAAGATTTTCATATAGAAGAAACAGTTATGGGTGCCTGTTGGGTATGTGGCGAAGGTGCTAAGGTAGAGACATTATACTGCTAATATACCTTTTACAAGATATTAGAATGTTTCTTTCAGTCATCAATGAAAGGAGCAATATTTTAAAAGTAGTCTTAGAACATAATTATTTTCATTAATGCTTGGTTGACCATCTCTCAAGCATAAGACATGAGAAGAAAAATCACAGGGAGATTTGAGAGAAGAACACACAAAGCATTATTAGTAAACTTTTCATCGCTTTGACATAGTAATTGAGGCAATCATATTAAGAGTGAAATTGTATAATTGATTAATAGTTTAAAAGAGTTTTGAGTCATGGTACCTTGAAGGTGTTGCATTGATCCTAATAACATATAGTTCATTATGTTGTGACTATGAGGAAGAGTAGAGGGCGAATTAGCATCCTAGTGTGTCAAGAATTCCAGGCACACCCTAGTGTGTGCCTCCTTCCACCATGTGTTCCTTGTAGAGTTATAGAGTTTTTCCCAATTAGTCATAGTGCCAATGGACTTCAAAATATACCTATTTGTAGATATTCATGATGGGGGATGTCCTTCTGTATACATGTTTCTCTTATTGAATGATGAACAAAACACTGTTTGGCCAGTAGAGGCAGGGATATAGGTCGGGCTAGCAGATGAGGAGAATGCTGGGGGAGGCGTGGAGAGGCAGAGAGATGTGGCAAGAATATGCCATGTAGTCAAGGAAAAAATAAGAGGTGTGGACCTTTCTCCAGTAAGATAAGACCATGTGGAAATAATTAGATTAATGAAAATGGGTTAATAATTAAGAGATAACTAGCCTGTAAGAAGCCCTAGCCATCAGCCAAGAGTTTAATAATTAATATAAGTCTTTGTTTGCTTATTTGGGGCTAAAGCAGCTGTGGGACCTGACAGGACAAGAAAATCCAGCTACATATTCTAGTTCTAAACAAGAACAATTAGGAATGCTTAGAGAAAAAAGACAAAACTTTAAAGGGAGCAGGGTTTAAATTCTACCTTTAACTGAAATAGTCATAGTCTAATTCATGTTAATTTTTTCAGTCTTAATACTAGTGACTTATTGTGTATATCATATTTTACTTTCTGACCCATTATGAGTTTTCATAAACAGGAAAGGAAGTGATTGAGATTCTAGGAATGGTTCAGTAGTATTGAATGCTATTGATTTTCCTGCTTAAATAGACCCAATTCAGGTTGAGATCTTGTCAATATTATGTGTTCAAGTTCACTAAGCAAATTAGTAATGGGACATTTTTTCCATTTCTACTAATTTACCATCCTATTTTAAGAACATGAAATGACTATATATTCAGTGGCAGAAAGTTGAAAAGAAATGTTTTAGGGAAGGATCATCTCAATCTTCTTTGACATGTGACTTGAGCCATGAGAAGACAAGAGGAATGGTTATATAATTTGAATGAAATGGATTTGAAATTATACCAAATAACTACACTATTGTTAGACAAGAGTGAAAAGAACACATGGAGGAAGCCCAATATGAATTTCAGGAGAAACTTTATGGGAACATGATAGAAGACTGTTGCATGTTTGTAACCTCACACTTTCTGCTGTTAGAAGTTTAATGGCATTTGGGGAGAGTGCAGTTACATAGTAGTATTTGTACTCCTTAGCATTTCACAATGAAAGTTGTTTTATACACAGTGTGGGCCTTTTTTCTTTGCTTTTTAAAGAATCCAGAGCATGCCTTTAATCCCAGCACTTGGAAGGCAGAGCCAGGCAGATCTCTGTGAATAAGAGACCAGCCTGATCTACAAGAGCTAGTTTGAGGACAGCCTCTGATGCCACAGAGAAATGCTGTCTTAAAACAACAACAACAACAACACAGAATCCTTATTCATGGTACAATAGGGCCATTAATTAATCACGTTATCACCCTACTTTAATAAAGTGACCCAAACTGACTTGCTGTGACTTTAAGTAAACAGGGAATTGTCTTATTTGCAATCAAGCTTCTGTTAATGATAATTGTTGTGGAATATTTGTACAATGTGTGAAGACATGTTTCTCTGATTGGCATAAGATAAAGCTGACCTGCCAGAAGATAAACAGGAGAGATAGGCAGGACTTCTGTTAAAGGTGAGGAAGTCAGGATGAATCTGGATGCATGAGGGAAACACCAATGACACAAACAGGGTCAGATATACATAAAGGACGAAAGGTAGAAAGTCCTGAGACAAAATATAGATTAATACAAACAGGTTAATTTAAGTTTTAAGAACAAGTCTAATCTATAGGCTGAGCTTTCATAATAATAATAAGTCTCTGTGTCATTATATGGGAGCTGGCTGGCAGGATAGAGAAAGACTTGTTACCTATGTTTCTATGCTAGTGATATAATTCCTACATCTCTGTATTAGTGATATATTTGTATTTCAGGGGAAAATGAAATGTCAACAAATTTGCCTTTTAGAGAATAGCATATATGGAGAGTCTATTTTTATTTTTAATGAAGGATCCCTCCAGACAAGCATGCATTCAAAGTTACAAATTAAAAATTGGTTAAACCAAGTTACAAATTAAAAATTGGTTAAACCAAGACAAATTAACAAATAAACAACTCAAAATTATTTTGGAGGACTGGAAGGTTAACAGTCTTTTTTCTAGAAAAGCTGGCTCTGCAGGAGCCTGAGGTTAGAGTGAACATTTCATGAATCCTTGGTTAGACACTGGAGAAAGTTATACAAGGCAAAAATGCGAGTGTCTTCATCAGGTGATTGCAAGGATGCCAGTCCACTCCAAGTGTGGTATTCATGAATTTCTGGGAACCCAGGTTGAACCTAATCACCAAAAGATAATCATTTATCATTCATTATTGTTTGCTTGAGGTTATTCATTTCAAATGTTGAGTGAACTCTTGGGAAGAAGTTAGAATTGTAAGGTCTCAAATGTATAAATTTTCATGTTTGTGTCCCAGAGTAATATAAATGTTGTAGCCATGAAAATTCTACAAGAGAGACTCTTGGATATATTTCCTGTATACAGTAAGTACCAAATTAAGGATTTCTCACATACAGGGCAGATAGAGGAGCAGGAAGGTACTACTTGCCTGTGGACATTGGTTTTATCATGGAACAATGTCAGTTCTCTCATGAGGGACTTTAAACATGTTCTCAGAGATGGCCCAGACTATGCATCCCTGATCCTGAAGGGAACAGTTGTGCTTTATTTTTTTTCTATCTTTTAATTTAAATTGGAAACAAGCTTGTTTTACATGTCAATCACAGTTCCCTCTCCCTCCCCTCCTACTCTGCCCCCTCCCCACCGACTCCTTATCTTACCCCCTTTCTGCTTCCCAGGGAGGGTAATACCTTCCATGGGGGATCTTCAAAGTCTGTCATATCATCTGGAGCAGGGGTCTAGGCTTTCCCTTGTGTGTCTAGGCTGAGAGAGCATGCCTCTATGTGGAATGGGCTCCCAAATCCATTCTATGCTAGAGATAAATACTGATCTACTACCAGAGGCCCCATAGATTTCCAAGGACTCCTCACTGACACCCTCGTTCATGGGGTCTGAATCAGTCCTGTGCTGGTTTCCCAGCTATCAATCTGGGGTCCACAAGCTCCCCATTGTTCAGATCTCATTGTGCTTCTGTACTTTTCAACTAAATCAATAGTCCACATAATACATGAAGCGGAAATCTCAGAGTTTTCCAGAAATGTTCTTGATATTTTCAGATGGAGATGGTCCAGGGATGGTTGTGATGAGATCTGGTGCTTTTATGAGTCTTTCCTTTGCCAATAAATATAGTTCATTAAAGTACTATAAAGAGCATCTACTTTTTATTGGGATTCCTGATGTGTGCATATTTAGTAAAGCACCCTAGAGATGAATAGCACTGCCAGTAAAGCTTTAGTAAAGGGGTTGTCTCTTACAATGGATCATTACATTTTGCTATGTAAAATAAGTATTTCTGCATTCACTTCTTACTACAGTGGTCACCTCTCTGATGAATGAGAAAAGCAAAGGAGTATAAGAAGACTACACACCTTGCTGAGTATCCTCTTCAGATCCTCTAGAAGTTCTTTGGTTTTTGATTCAATATTTTTGTCTCTTGATAAGATATCATTGGGAACTTCTTCCATATAACTTAGCTCAGTTATTATGTGATGCAGGGGATCTTTCCAAGCTCCCAACAAACTGATCATCTCTTTCAGAAGGAATACACCCTAAATACCCATAATTAAACAACTGTATGAAAATTGGTCAAATATAATCAGAGTTAGCCCATGTGGTATATACTCAAAGAAACTAAAGTACCCATTTATTATATTTATGTAGATGTCATTTTCAAAGGAATTTCAAAGGTTAGTTTGATTGAGTCATACTAAATGTGTCTTATTTTACTAGCTAATTTTTTTCATTTTTAAAAATAATTTATTTTTACTTTATGTGCATTGGTGTTTTGCCTGCAGGTATGTCTATATTAAGGCATCAGATCCCCTGAAACAGAAGTTACAGACAGCTGTGGACTTCCATGTGGGTGCTGGAAATTGAACCTGGGTCTTCTGGAAGAGCATCCAGTGCTCTTACCTGTTACTAGCTAATTTTTATGATAAATATGTTTTGTAAGATTTCTGTGTTCATCTGTATTTCTACTGTTTGTCCTCCTGCTATAAGCAATAGTCTTTATTTTATTTTTTTACAAGTGCTTGTTTCTCCACAAGTAACCAAGTCTTCCCAGGACCTGAGTAGGTGGTCATAGGACATGTTTCATATAAAAATTGATACCAGCACTGCACTTCAGTGGCAAGTAGCCCAAATACTTTTTTCCATAGGAATATTTTTATAATAAAACATTAGCTTCTTCACTGATGGGCTCATTTATGTTTTTTCATTTACTTTAAGACAATGGAACAAAAATTCAATGATGGCAACCAGGTCTTTATATGTGTGCTTTTCTCATGCTGCATGAAACATAGGACTACCCTCATGCCAAGCAAGCTATGTGTGACCAAGTACAGGTGAAGATCAGTGGAACAGCATTGCCTTTAATATGTGGATTTTTGGAAAGCACAGGATATTTGATTTCCCAGTCTGTGCTCATAGTCAAGGTCTTATATGAAACTCATCTCTGAATAAAATCCTGCTGTGCTGATGTCTGATAGTTATTCTCTTGGTATTGAAAGCAGAGACTAGACTGGATTCCGTTGATCCCCTCATGTCCAATATTTTAGCATTTTGATATGGCATAAACTACAGATGTGTGTGATTAAAGCAAGGAATAATAAAGGAATAATAATAATTAAAGCAAGGAATCATTCAGTTTATAATGATTATAAACTGAAAATGGTTTGATACATGAACTTTGTCATCACAAATGAGTATATAGTTGTATCATGTGAACTGTAGTGTTTTACAGGAACCTCTTGTTCTGCTGACTTTCAGGTAAGCCTTGGGAGAAGACAGATAATTTACTGAGGAATGGACATGCAGGTTGGCTGCAACCAGGAAGATCTTGAAAGTCAATAGGAGATTTCTTTGTGATTAGTAATGTACAAAGCAGCAAACACAGTAGCATTTCATATGTATAATTAATGAAACTGTATTTACATTTCCTATACATAATTATGAATATCTTCAAGCATGTGTACAATTTAGTTCAAAGTAACCTATAAAAATAAGTACTATAATCCTATCTATAGGCATTGGTAAAATAGTTCACCTACACGCACAGTTTATGGTTCTCTGACAACATTATATAATCATCAGTTCTTCCTATGATTTATCAATTGTATAATGTGATTTTTCTTTGATTATTCCCTCCTCCTTCATTCTTCTGAATGTATGATTGCCATAACTATTTTCTTACGCATAACCACCTTAAGCTTAGTACTTCAGCTTAAAGCAGAAGCTATACTCACCTGGATCTGTTGCACTCCATCCTTAGGTATTAAAACAGAAATGGTAGATGAGTCACAGCCAGTAAGGTCTCTTTCGGGAAACCACCGGCCTGGTGTATATTATACATCCGCCAGCTGGAAAAAATCATTTTAATTTGAACAAGAGTAACTTAATCCATGATCAGAATATTGATATATTTGTTAAATATTTACAAATATAAAAATACACACAAAACAAGGGTTTTATATATGAAACCTTTGGTTTTGTGTTGAGAGAGAGATGGAGGGAGAGAGATCAGAGGTTGTGTTTAGGTTTTGGTTCTTGCATTCTATCTTCTTTGAGATACCATCTCTTTTTCTTTGCCAGAGCACACAACAAGTTAGCTGTACTGGCACTGCCAGGGATCATCCTATTACAATCTCCCTTCTCACTGTAGTAGCACTGGATGTACAGACATATGTTATCAAACATGGATTATAAACTATGGATTATGGAGATCCTGAGGTCCTCAAAATGATCTTTTCACCAAGTTTTTCCACATCAATTTTGTAATCTTTTCCTGTCCATTCTAGCCACCCTCAGCTAATCTCCCAGTTCTGCTCAGTTCTATTTTCTTTGAAATTTCCAGAAGCTCTTCTCTGATTGTTTCCTTTGTTAGTTAAGTGTACTTTCTTTTTGCTGATGGTATATGTTATGCAATTCTGCTGCGCATGCCTCCTAGTAAACTATAGGGCTCTGAATCTATTGGCCTGAAGGTTCATTTTGTAAAGGAGCCAAATGCAAGTGATGTACTTACAAACATCCTTTGAGTTTCTGCGGTGAGTTCTGTGATATTATAAGACAGTGTGATGGCACGATCAAGAAGGTCCTTTAGAGACACCATACCATTGGCAGCCAAAATGTCATGCATGGGAACAGAGGCTACCTTCTCCCATAGGAAGAGATTCAACACCATCAGGAGTGTCCCTGCTATATAGAAACAGAAGCTAGTATGAGACTCATTCATCAGAGGTTATCAGCATTAATGTAATATCTGCCAGATGTCCGTGAATATATATAGCAGTAAATAAATATCTATTACTCAAATATTCAATTAGATAATGAATTTATATAGCTATAGAAAGAAGGTGGTTATTTGCCAAGTTTTTGGATTGCCATCCAAGTGAATACCATGTGAGATTAAGATACATAAACCAAACTGCAATACAGAAAAAAGGCTTCGCTGGGAAGCATGATGAACACTGGAGCTATTTCTCAGATACACAGTGGAGCTCACACTGTAAACAAGATGAAGCTGCTAGCCAGAATGGCACAGTTTCATTTTGCTCAGCATGAGACCTCTGCTAATTTCAGATTATGGTCCACTCAGTCCAGAAATTGTTCTGTCCAATGCACCCTCTTGCAATCTGTATTGGATGGCAAGTGCTTCATTAATACTTTCTTCCTCCTTGAAGTTCTCCCAGTCCAATTTGAACTTCTCAAGAGTGTTCATTTTCTCTTTGTTTTCTTTGTTTTGTGTTTGTTTTGCTTGAGGATTTCCCAAACGTTTGCTTACACCACTGGATAATCATATACTTACCCAGTAAAGAGTGACAGGAGCTGAAGAGACAACTGGCCTTTGGGTTTTCTTTCTCATCTTGCTTGAGGAAATGTTTGGCTTCTTTGGATGCAGGATCTACTTCCTTGGTCACTATCACTACATTACCAGCAAAGTCAAACTCTTTGGTGACTATCTCTTTCTATTTCCTTGGGTTTCTCTAGATTATCTGCTCTAACCACCAGTTGACTTCAACTTGTCTCTAGTTTCCTCTGATGCCTTAGCTTGTGATCTAGAGCCTGCTTTTTCTTTTGGTTCCTATACAATAATGGGGCACAGTCCATCTTCCTTCTTTTCCCTTACATTCTCTGATCGAAGGCCTCCTTCATTTTCATTATCTTCACTGATACTAACTCCAGATTCTTCTTCCCTTCCTCATTCAACAAAAGGCTACTTTGTTTGCTCTTCCAGTATGAAATTCCCTGAGCCTAAGTTCTTTTCCCTTTGGATTTCTCAGCCTACTTTGTACCATCCTCTTCATCTTCCCTCACTATTGCATTGACATCATCTTCATTGTACTCACCACTCACTTTCACATTTTCCTTATCCTCCTCTGACATGGAGAATTCGAAGTTGAATTCCTCCCTGAAGTTGAGGCATTGTTCGTGAAACTGAAGAAAACCACAGTCTTTGCCCACAAATGGCTAACTCTACAGAGAGAACATAAATCTGCAGAATCAGCAGCTAAAAGAAAGAGGACCTAAGCCCAACCCCAAATGATATGATGGACTTTTATCTCCCTGCTATGGAGTGTTTCACTATCCTTGGGGAGTGGGTGGGGAGTGGGTTGTCGGGGTCAGTGTGGAGCATGGGTGGATAGGAGGGTGAGGGAAAGGGGGATTGATCCATATATAGAGTGCTTCTAAAATAAAAAAATAAAAAATGTTTTAGAACAGTGACCCTCTGAGTGAGCCTCTTAAAATCATTGACTACTGACAAATTAATGGGGAATTTATGCTGATTTTCAATAGTCTGATTTCCCCAAGACTTTATTTCTAACTTATGTGGTGTTTGCATTTTGGCAAGGACAGCACACTTTATCTGTTTCTTGTAACTTCATGCCTGATAAGTGAAAACACATGATAGTCTGGTGTCTAATAAGAAGAGCAAAGAGACTCCAGTCATGAAAGGATACTCTATGCTTCATTTTCTAACTCACAAATTTTGTTGAAGAACACCTGAATTCACATACTCATCAGTAAATGCAAATAAACATTCTATAGTGTAGAATATAACTAAAATCTATTTTGTCTACATAGTAAAGTCATTAATATATGAGTCATACACTTTCATTTCCCATAAAATGATGGTTTCTATACTTAATTTTGTATGTATAAAAATTTATATCTACATATATACACACGTGTGTGTGTGTGTGTGTGTGTGTGTGTGTGTGTGTGTGTAATACCTATTTTCAGGTGTGCAATTCTCATAATCTAAGAGGAGGTAAAATAGGCAAATATTCTGTTCTCCATTTCTGAGAAATCCATGGCTGTCATGACTTCTGTTTCCTTCCAGTGTCATCTATAACGCTTTAGCACCACCAGCAATTAACATAGTGATGTTATTCAGTTTAATCCAAATTTACAAAGAGTGTAAGACAGATATCTGCTATTACTATCAACTTTAGGCTTCAGTTCTGTGCATTAGAAAGGTTGATTCAAGTGAGCAAACTCGAGTTTAACATGCAGGAATAAGAAAATATTTTCTTCTTTATAGAATCATGACCATTAGAACACATTAACTCTAGTTTCCCCAATATATTATCATTTCTTTTTCTCTGGAAAATCAATTGTACTACATTTTTTGTTCTTTTTGGAACTACCCTGGCACTTGAAGATTTTTACACACTACCCATGTTTCTAACCATTAGGCACCACAGAATATCCCCTATTTTATGTGTTTATGTGTGATATTTTTATTTTTGAAATTAAGTATCTACTTGGCTTAAAATTTTCTAAGTAGACTTAGATGGCAAGTGTGCCAAAATTAAGGAGTGAGCTGACTTTTTAGCTCCAGAACTAAAATTATAAGCTTCAACTACATCATGGGCCTTTCACCATCCTCTTGCTTCCTTTAGCCCAAGTAAGATTCTGAATCATCTTAGAAATTTCTTCTTCTATCAAGGAGAGTGAGAATTCCCATGTCTAAAACCTGTTCTAAGTGGTCTACTTCGCCCTTAAACAGGTTCTTTCTAGATTGCATTTTCCCTAAGCCTTTGTTATATTGTTTTTCAATTTAATATGCCGATTAACACCAGGTACATAAGATCGGATTCTAAGGAAAGAATACCATCTGATGGATTTATCAGATTTTCTGAGAAAAGCATTAGTGAGAGCTTACTTACAGAAGCAAGGTTGACTCAAAGACAATTGCATCTCAGGAAACTTCCACGATGGTAGATGGGCCACTGGAGAATGCTATGGTACTGAAGTACTGTTCTCAGTTTACTCTCTGCCTTCTAAATACCCTGGCATATTGCCCCAGGGCCACTCACTGCTAGATAAGGATGAAGATAAGATTTAAAACTCTAGATAGGGTTGCACTTATTCTCATGTTTCAGGAGAATAAGTGTCACCACAATTACCACAGACCTGCTATATCTGTGTTTTGCCATTTATGGGATATGGCTATGGGGTATGACTACCGAGTATGGCTCCATGGTATGAACTAACTTCAAGTTCTATGAAGCAGAAGCTATCTTTACTCCTTAACCAGTGATAATCACACCCGACCAAATATAAACTGCTGTTCTTCACTACTTCTCCTCCTGCCTCACACTCTTGCATTCATTCTGTAATATTTTATATTTTCTGACTCTGAAGGAAATGTATGGATATGAATTTTACTGAATTATGGGCCACCATGTAACAGCATCAGTCATTCATTCTCTATGGTTTAAATGGTTATTATGCTGTTATAAAGATTGTCTCTGTATAAACTTGGCCTAAACAGAAATCTTTAGAAGACTATTTGTCAGCATGTTACATCCATATAATAAGGAAGAAGAA